ATTGAGCCTTACTACTCAGGAAGATGTAAGCAGGATCTATTACTTAACTGAGTAGGAAACAATATCTGCAGTTACAATAGCAACTATAAATCCTGCTTCATGGTTGGAGCTGATCTTCAGTTGGGGTCAGGAAGGAAATTTCTCCCTCTGGTAAAAAAATTAAACAAGATGCAAGTGGGAAAAAATAAATAAATGAATAAAAAAATGGTTTTACATCTGCCTCCGATGCATCCAGCACTGCTTGATGCCTGTCACGGGACACCAGACTAGATGGGTCATCAGCATGTTCTATCAACTCTCTGGTTAGGCATGAAGGAGGTGCCTGGAACAGTCTTATTTAACCTGCCTGTGTGGGACGAGTTCTCTCCAAAAGGCAACAGTGGGGGGAAAAAACAAACCAAATCAAACACTAATTTTCCCCTTGGTGTAACAGAAAGGCAGCTCTAGACGTCTCCTGGCAGAAGGCGTTCCTTCTTGCCAATGTTTATCTAATGGCTTCATGCTACACACTCCTCTGCCCTAAGGACAGAACCCAGGACAGATCACACAAGCAATTATGCAGAGGAGTTAAACACACCTCAAACCACAAGCCTATAAATTGGCAGGTCTGACCGTTTTTTTCTGAACACCATTCATTTTGCCAGTGAAAGTATCGCTTATTCCAAGAGGTGAATCTAACGCCTTTAATGTGGTGAAGCAGCATTCAGTGCACAGAGAGCAGAGACACAAATTACTAGAGTTATTCTGGGATAATTTATTCAGAATTTTAATATAAACAGTTAATTGTTCAATATTTTACACACAGCAAGATTTTTAATATTCAAAGGTATTTTTTATACTTGTCACTGCTTGGCTCTTATATGAAAACATTGAAAAAATAAATCAAGCTTTTTTTTTTTTTATTTTTTTTTTTTAAAACCATGGCACATTTTGATCCTTTACTTTATTTCACAAAAGAGGTATATGCCAGACTATCAGCATTCTGGGACCTTGTGTGTGCAGAAAGGAAGGCAGGAGCAGCAAGATTAAACACAGAAAATATAAAGACTTCACAGAACTTCACCTAACATTTAACTGGATTTGCCTTCAGTTTATTTAAGGTACAAGCAGAACAATATTCACTTTTGGCTGAGTTTGATAAAGCTGATGACCAGTACGCACATCTGCGTAGTTCCTCAAACACAAACGACTGGTTTGATACTTGAACAAGTGTATCTGCACCCCACAGAAAGCTACAGGTAAAAGCTTTTAATTTTAAGTAGGATTTTAAAATTTTAATTCAATCGTCCAAAGTCAAAAGTGGCCTCTCTAAAAATTCCATCTTTGGGGGTGGGGTGGGGGTAAATATTCAGTAATGGGTGTTGAAGGGTTATTGGGCGCTGCTGGGAGAACTGAAATGAGATACGAGTGCTTTGGTAACAAGGGGGATAGTACATCAGAGAAATGCAAGGACTTTCTAGTTGAGTCAATATTTCCCAGTTCAACCTAGATTTTCCTGTTCATTGTAACACAAAGCGAGAGCTGAACTGGGAATATACTTTGCAGTGTGTTAATATTGGCCCTGACTCAGCTAGTTGCTCAAGCACATGCCTTAATTTAAGTCAATGAGATTTACTCAAGTACTTCAAAAAGTTAGGCATGTAGTTCATAATTAGACTATCAGGGTTGGAAGGGACCTCAGGGGGTCATCTAGTCCAACCCCCTGCTCAAAGCAGGACTAATCCCCAGACAGATTTTTGCCCCAGATTCCTAAATGGCCCCCTCAAGGACTGAACTCACAACCCTGGGTTTAGCAGGCCAATGCTCAAACCACTGAAGTCTGGGCCAAAACGTCTGTCAATCATGATTTTCTGGAATGAGTGAAATGAACCATTTACTAGGATTTTGGACAATGTAGGGAGTTAAGAACAAAAAAGACTTTCAGGAACGTTCTTTCTTGCTGACTGCAACTACTTCAGCAAAAAAAAGAGTAACACTGTAAAAATTAATACTAACTTTATTATACAAGATAAAAGTCACCACTTCTCCACCTGTACTTTTATAGCTTGCTTTGTGGTGCAGTACATTTGTTAAACTGCAAGAATAAGTGCTTATCTTCTGGAAAGACACGAATGGTTTGTTTTTTTAAAAAAGGACATATTTCATGGCAGCAGGTATTTGATAAAAACAGAAGTTTTAAAATTTCCTTCAAATATTCAAATTCTTCCAAAGGGAAAATTAAGTGTTGGCCTCATTCTTATGATATTCATAACAAGGCAAGCCAAAACAGAACAGGCTGAGGCATGTTAATGCTCTTACATCAACATTTGTGTACAGTATGCAAGCAGAGTTAACATCGAGCCAAGCATAAGATAATAAAAAGGCCAATTTTAATTTAAGTTCATAGAAACAACAACTAATCTTATCTCAGAGACTTTATGTATTTCTGAAGTTACTATTCCTCGATTCCAATTCATTCAACAGCTCCTTTCCCTGGACACTACTCATAGGAAACTGATAGGCGGCACCAGCTGTGCTTTCAAAGGCAATTAGTTCATGACATAAAACATGCCCACCTAGTCTCCAAGTAAAAGAGAAGATCCAAGAGAAGTTTAGTCAGGCGGCTTTTGAGGCAGGCTAGGAAATAAAGAGGATCAAAGGTTCTCCTGCAGTTTTCTTGCTTCCTCTGGTATTATTCGAGATGCCAGAGCAGAGCCTCGGAACCCATCTCACATGGATTGATGGGGCTCCCAGCATGAGCCTCTTTAGCAAACGTTTATGGCACAAAAAATTTTGGTTTGATTTCTAACTTGTAAAACAAGTGTACAGTCTCAGTAATATCTGGAGGCACCTGCTCTGTAGTGAAGGCTTAGTGCTCCTCAAGGCCCCTTCTTCATAGCACAGTGATATTCAAGAGGGAATTTGCTCTCCTCTCCCCTTCCCCCAAGAAAATGAGGCTCAAGGATAATTGGCACAGTATCTACCTCACTCCTGTCCTCCTCCTCCATCATATTCTAGGTAAATAGCACGGGAAACAACTTTGAGATTTTCCAAAGAGAAACCATCATCATATGCAACATACTAAAAATTAAGCAAAAAAGTGTCCCAATATTACCACACAAATTTGACAGGAAACAGATATACTACCCATAATCCAGAGTACCCTTTAGCAACCTAACAGCAGCCTTTTCCCATCTGATGTAGCTGCTTTACTACTCAATGTAAGGAAGATTGTGAAGCTGCAGCTTGGTCTATGTCATGGCACATGTCTAACCTAATCACTGCTGGCCCAGTTAGTTTACCAGAATCAGCTCTTCTATTTTACGACAGAATATTTACAAGCAGCCACAACGGACATTTTTGAACCTAGCAGATAGGTTTTGGTAGTGCAAGGTGTGCTGTATTGCAAGTGAAGTACCACCAGCCTCGCAAGAGACATTCAGGAAGTGGCAACTGAATTTAACGTGCAAATGCTTCTGAGAAACCTGTCTGTTCTCACGCTTTAACGTTTGCGTTACAGAAAGACAGCAGTGCACAGGGACTCACTGCTCATCTCTTCTGCTTTGCTAGCTTTAGAAATAGTGTTACATTGTGGGGCTGGACACCTTTTGCAGTGGGGGATGTGGAGAACTTCCTACCTGCTTCACGGGTTCTCAGGTGAATGCTAGGAAGGGGGGCCCATCCAGACATATGTTGTGGTCATCAGTACCAATGATAACCAGAAAGACACGTTTTGGACAAGAAGAAAGAGGGCTTCTCAGTAGTGTGCTGCAACTGCTCATCCTGAGCCATTCCACCCTGGGTCCTGGACTACTGTTCTCCTCCTCGCCTCTCACCAAAGGGCAGGATTTCTCCCTCAGCATGTGCCTGTGCTTCTGTTATAGTCACAGTATTTTCAGCTCTGATATGAATCTGTTAAGTTCATGAGAGCAACAGAGCTCCCCAGGGACTAGGAACAAGCCAATTATTGCAAACACCCTTTCTGCAAATGAGTTAGTAGGAACAGCTCAAAACCAGAAACTTTCGTACACCACACACAGATCTCATCAACTATATCCATGCACGGGCCCTGCTGCCTCTTGGCTGGGGTTACAGGAGTAGTTCCCAGCAAGACACAATGCCAGGGTTCTTCTGAGCCCCAACACGCTTCAGGATAATGACAATTTCAACAGCATGGACCACAATGTCAATTGTGGGCTAAAAATGAAGATTTCTCAAAGCAAACGTTGGGCTTTAGCAGAGCATTTTCAGTTGTGCTTCTCACCTCTACAGGAAAACAAGCATCAGCTTTAAAAGCTAAATGCTGTAACAGCTGATTTTTTTTTTTAAAAAGGAACTCGATTTCAACACTCACCCCCGCACCCACACACACGCATGCAGAGAGAGAGAAAGAGAAAGAGAAAAGAAGTTTGAAGTAACCCATTGAGGAACATGTATTTATGTCATGTGAATGGACTGCCTGGACCACAAACACAGTATGTATTCCCTGCCTTCTTCAAAGAGCTGGACATTGCAAGTCATGTGCACTACACAGGGCCAACCAATATCAACTAAAGCTAGCCAAACCCAATACGGGGTTCCAATATTTGTGTACATATAAGGTCTTCTACAGTGCCAACAACAGCCAGAGACAATCACTTCAATTCTGCAATGTTCCTAAAGCAACAATATGGTGAGAAAGTTGTACTTTCAGGGTCACATCTTGCTATCATTTACTCCAGATTCACACTAGTATAAATTACGAACATGGACATGATCCAAGCTGTCCAACTCAAACTAGATCTATTACGCACTGTTGATTATCTGGGTCCACACTGGTCACGTGTTATTCCAAACAAATGCCATTTATTCTATTTCAGGGCACTGCATCAGGAAGAACGTCCAAATACTTAAAATATTTAGCCCTGGAAATTGCTATTTTGTCCATATCAGGATATTTTCCTGATCACAGCAGAACTAAGAGGATTGCATCAGTCAAATTTGGCCATTGTGTACTTAGAGCCACAAATAGGGTCTTTGGTCATTACTGCTTAAGTTAAGTGATAAATAATGATTAGCTGTTCTCCCATCCCTCCGGTGAATGGTCCCTCGTATTGGAATCAGTTGATATTGATTTTCCCCAATTCATAATAGGTCCAGACCAGAATATTTCATCAAGTCTAGAGATGCACAATATTAAAAATAGCCTTATGGGATACTGAGGTAGACTGTGCCAGAATAGGACAAAACAAAAAACAAAAAACCCACCACACCCTCCTGCCTAGTTTTCAAAGATAAAAATGTACACGTTTTGTATGTTTTAAGAAAGAAAATTGTTTGTTTTTACAGTGATTTATTTTATATTAAAATAAATAAAAATTTTCCTAATAAGAAAACCTCTCTCAATTAGAAAAGTGTGTGAATACTTCTTCCCTGCAGTGTAGTGTAGAGCTGCTAAATAGTTACTAGTTTGTAAAGCACAAGAATGCAAGCTAGGCCTTTCGACCTGTGAAGTTCTGGCCTCAGATTTATACAATACATTTTGCATCTCATTTTGTGAACAATCTTTTTGTACCTTCTCCCTTTGTCCCAACTGAGTCAGGCCCTACAAACATAAGGGGGTGCTGTTCCTTTCAGGAGGTGCAGAAAGTCCATAATCCTTTATCTAGGTGCCGTACTACCAGGCGTCTATAGTTTTGGGTTAGCAGGGAGGGATCAGTGATGTGCTCCCTATTAGCACCAACCCTTATTTTATTTTCAGTGATTGGTCTTTCAATTGTAGGGACGCCGAAGCAGCCACACATGGTCTGGAGTAACAAGCCACACAGCTACATGCTTACTGCCCCACCCAGATGAGCCAGGACTGCACCCAGCACAGGGAACTCATGGGGTCACAAAGAAAAGCTGCTGATTTTCACCTTCGGTCTCCCTTTGAAACCATCACCTGCATTACAATCGCCTGCAACATCCAGGGGTTTGCTTCTTTCAAGCCTATTAGTACATTCACTCCCCGCTGCTTCAGCCCCTTTCCCTGACAGTACATCCTTTCATCACTGTAGGAGACATGTAGTTTCATGATGCTTTTCTAACACCCTAAGCTAAACAGCTTTGCCTTTTATGCAAACAGCAGCAAAACAAAGCCCAGCCCAAAACACAAAAGTTAGCATCCTGAAGAGCTGGAGGTGTTGGCTAAGAACAAAACCACCCCGTAACTATCCACGGGGCATGGTGCAGGTATCTCAGGAAAACGCCAAAGTCCCACTTGTTGTGCCAGGCCAAATGCCCACGCAGGCTGCAGACAGGCACAGACTAGTTCACCACAGTCACGTTCAGCTTCGGCTCCACTCATGGAGCCAGGAGCCTGGCACTTCCCCCTTTGGGTTGGGTTAGTGTCTGTTGTTCTGTTAGAGTTTTTGCTCTTTCACTTGGCGCCGTTTTCTCCAATGTCTGTGGGAAAGTGCACATGGAAGGGAAAGAAAGTGAAGTAGCCGAGCGACGGAGGGCTGAGGCAATGCTTTGTCTGTCAGCCTCCACCAACCAACTCAAGTCCAAACGACTTTATCTTGGGGCTTTAGCTGGAGCCGGCTGACTGTGTGATATAAATCACGAAACTATATTTTAAAGCCTTGTCAAGTACAAACTTAACATGTGCTTCATAGTTCCTAAGAGGGTAATCAGCTAAAATAAAGTTCATTCTGAAATCCATGGACCACTTTAAGACCAAACAAACACCCCAATCCCCTCCCCCCAAAAAGAATCATAAACACTCAATAATTTATATGGTAGTTAACATTTAAAACTAAAAACATTTTAAATATGTTACAACAAACAATATATATACTCAATGCTATAAGGACAGAAAGCTTGATATCAGGTCAGGGGTTCCTGTTTTGTTTGGTCTTGAAAGTAGCCACAAATCTCAGATTTCTACTCCTTTGGCTCCTAGCATATTTTTCCTCATATGCTAATGAGAGAAAACTGCTCCCAAGAGTCCTTAGTACAAAAATAATCTGTTTGAGGTTCAATCACTCCAGGAAACTGGGAAAGAGAGAAGTACACACTTCCAAGAAGAGGAAAGCTTCTGTGAGAACATACAAAACTTATGTACAAAAGAAGTGTATATTTGTATATATAGACACACCCCATGTATATATACTGCGCGCGCACACACACACACACACACACACACTCGGATTTAACTCATTAAAAAAGTATGAAAGCAGCAGCTATTGGTCAATCTGAGGAAATGGCGTGTCCAATTGATGGGTGTTAAAATCCTTCGGCTGTAGTGAAAGAAACGCTTCTGAAGAGGATGCCATAAAGCTTGGAATTCTACTGAGAACATTTATGTCCTGCGGAAGTTTTGTTCTGCACTTTTATAATGTAGCTCAGATATCATTGATTTTCATTTCCTTTGTTGGCAAATGTGGATTCTCTTCTTTCAACCTAATTTACAAGGTCAGTTTCTGTTTTGAACCATGGCTACAGAAGGGACAGCCACCATGGAAACCTTTTCCATTTATGTTCACAGATAAGTCCATTGACAACCACTCAACTTGTCAAAAAAAAGGTCTCTTAATCATAAGATGATTAAAAATCTGAACAGAGAATTTGTAGTTGTATGTCATACGCTGTGGCAGCAACAACAAGAGTCCTGAGATTCACAGAGGGGAAAAGCAAAGACACAACCCTTGGGCCAAACAGGAGGTGTTAGGAAGGGCTCGACCTAGGCATGGACAGAATCCGCCCGTTTTTCTTGCCACCGTTCATGTGAGTGTAAGGTATATGCTCTTCATAGTTCCCCTTGAGGCCCATGGAGGGCCCATTGTCCCGCCCCAGTACTTTGTCCCTCTGCGAATAGGAGGAAGGGTCAAGGGGTATGCTCTCCATGTTCTCAAAGTCCATCTCAAACTCCTCTGTCTCGGGAGGTTTGTTTTCTTCACTGTAAAAGAATGACACCTCCTGGAAGCTGGGGTGCAAGTCCTCCTTCAGCATCTCAATGATCTCGATGAAGGTAGGGCGCATTTTGGGGTTGTACTGCCAGCACATCTGCATCAGGCTGTGCCTGAAAGGGGATAAAGAAGAGAGAGTCAGTATCTGGGAATCACTTTCACAGGCACAGACCTGAGCAGGGGCTGGTGTCATTTAATATCCAAACCAATGTTGGGACAAACTCCCTGCAATGGCTGTCAACTCTCTGATTCCCGGGTCGAACATTTCCACTTACAGTCTCTTATGTTTTCTTCTCTTCCTCTCCAGTTTCTCTTCCTGGTCTCCACTTTTCCTATTATAGCCTCATGCTCCTCTCCTTCCATGTCTGTCAGGGCCCATGACTCCCTCAGATTCATTCAATTGTAGAAACACAGGAATGGAAAGAACCTCCTGGCCATGGAGCCCATTCCGCTGCTACTGCAGGCCACCCCAACATATAACCCTGTTCATAAAACTTACTGAGCTTCATTTTAAAACTAGTTCAGTTGTTTGCCCCACTACTGCTACTGAGAGGCTGTTCCAGAACCTCTCTCCTCTAATGATCAGAAACCTTCTAATTTCCAGTCTCAATTTTCCCATGGCCAATTTATACCCTATTTTATTCTTTTTCCAAGTCTGCTTAATGTTCTCTCTCTCTCTCTCTACAAGAGGTTTTCTTTTTGAGCCTCCCTGTATTTCTGACCTCCAGTGTTTGCCCTTTCCCCATCCCTCTCATCTCTACTTGCCCTGCCATTCCTCCTCCCAGCTGCTCCCGTGGGCAGCCCAGGTCCTGTTCACGTTCCAAATGCAGGCTCTGGAAGATGATGGCTAACATGCCAGACAACACGCAGTCTAGAGCTGGCTAGGCTTGGGTAGCAGGACACAAACAGCTCCACTGCCATTTTTAAAACTAAACCCTGGAGCTAGCACTCCAGCTCTTAAGCACCATCACTCTCTTAGTAACCCCTCCACCTGAGGGGCCATAGGGGGTTAGCCTATTGTTATTCCCATCATTTGAGAGGAGAGTTTCAGTGCTCCCTTGAGGCTGGCTACAGAAGCAAACACGGAGCACACGCTGGGCAAGGATACAACGCTGATGGGATGACAAAACCACTGGAGAGGACAGACTAACTTAGGGCCCTTGCTATGCCTGAGAGACAGGAAAAAGCACAAGACAAGACACTTTGCGCCCTCCCTTCCCATTCACCATATGAGGGATTCCTGAAAGTTAATGCATGGAAAGTGGCCACCACTCTTGCCTAGAATCAAACCAGGTGGAATTGTCTAACACAGACGTATGACCAGGTGTCGATTTGCAGACAGCTTCTACAGTGCGTTAGCCCCCTCCCCCTTTGATCGATGAGCCTCTCCCCAGCATTTCCAGCCACTTGGCTAGGAACTGCAGAGAAGCAAGCACAGTCCTAGCACATCACTCTGCAGAGGTGAATCACTGTGCATTAAAACACAGTGATGGGAAAAGGCCTTTTGTTTTGGCCTTTCCCTGTGTTCTGGCCTTCACCCCCTCTGGTGTGCACTCTCTCTTCTTACGATCATACAGCCCAGTTTAGTTTGGCTTTCCTTTCTGGTCGCCTGAGCTGCCCTTAACTCTCCTCTTCATCTCTGGGTCACTCAGGATGGGGTGACAACATTTCTTTGTCAGGTGGTTCTCAAAATTCAGCTTTGCTCCCCCCGTTCATCAGGGTGGGAGGGGGGTGGAATTACAGCCACCTTCACTGGCCATACCTTAACCAAAGGAGCACAACTTGGTCAGTTCCCACTCGCCTCTAGTACTTACAGTCTCTCTGGACAGTTGTCTGGCTGATCCAGGTATCCTCCATCCATTACAAATTTTAGCACCTGTTCATTAGAGAGTCCCTGGTATGGCTGTTCCGCCAAACTACTTATCTCCCAAAGGACAACTCCAAATGACCTGAGAAAAGACCAGAACCACGGATCAGACTGATATTGAGGATCTAGAGAAGACAATGTTCAGCTTACTTTTGGTGCAGGGAGATTTTAGAAGATGCACTACATATTTAAGAAGCGGCTTCAAAATATAATTTCCTGTTCTCTGAAGAACTTACCCCCCCACACACACACACACATCGAGTCACCCATGTCCCTATTAGGGCTCATACTACAATTCATCACGGAATGCAGAGTGCAACTTACCACCCATCTGAGTAAGCAGTAAAGACACCATCCTTTAGAGATTCGGGTGCCATCCACCTCACAGGCAGCAGCCCTTTGCCTCCTTTACGGTAATAGTCGGTCTCATAGATGTCTCTGGTCATGCCAAAGTCTGACAAAAGAAGTTAGGATGTATTACTAATGCCCAGTCCTTGCTGAAAGGACTCCGATTTCTGTAACATGTGCACATTAACACTGTGTGTACCAGCACAGAAGGCAGGGCCAGGTACCCACAGCGCAGGACTCCTGCCTACTTCATTCCACAGGTGTCTTCCACAATCCTCTCCTGGATCTCTGCACTGTGGGAGCCACAGTCGCTTGCCTTAGAGTCTGTCCTGCTGCCCAGTGACTCCAACTATATTAAGTTACACCACAGAAAACAATTCCTTTCCTTAGGGTCAGGCTATTGTGCCTATGACACCCCAACTTTCAGTCATGCTGCTATCTTGAGAGTATTTAGAGAATGAGCACATTCCCCCCCCCCCCATCTCCTTCCTAAACTATTATGCAGCCATGGTACCATTCACGCTCACAGTTGTAACTAAGCCCTATTTTGACTGATCTCTTCCCACTCGTTTGATGAAAACAGAATTCCTTTTGGTCTGAAATTCCAGATGGCTGGCCTGAGGCCAGAGGAGGCTTTGAGGGGGGGTTTGGATTATTTTTAAATTTTATCGACTCAACTGGTGTTAAGAACTTGTTTTATACATTTGTCCTCCATAAAAACTAGTCCTTGGGCCTAATTACATCTTTAGCAGTCCTTAGCTTTTAGTTCATGCTCCATGAATAGGATACTTTCTCTGTCACAGTTCTCATGGAAGCAAGAAATAATATGACATTTCCTGAGGAGCTCTCATTAGAGGAAGTTATTAACTACATTTCAGTAGAAGCTATAGAAGCTGCAGTGAGGCTCACCTAGACAATCCACTTACCAAAGCGCCTTCAGGTCCTTCTGCAAGGCAGGTGAAACAGGAAAAGATATTGGACAAAGAAGGTTCACCTTAGTGTAGAACTTTAAAGACAGTTAAAAACCAACGGAGATCAGATGGCTTTTTATAGCACTAGTCTAGAATTTCACAGAACCTCCTTCTCAACAGGGAAAGCTTAGTATTAGATTTGACACACACATTACATACCTCCAATTTTTACAGTAAAATCTTCTGCAACCATACAGTTACGGGCTGCAAGGTCTCTGTGGACAAACTTTTTGGCATTCAGGTAAGCCATACCATCTGCAATCTCTGCAGCCATCTGGATCATCTCTCTGAGAGTTGGTGGGGGACGGCCAGGGTTATTCTGAAGTTAAGTCAGAAAGTATTAAAGACCAAAGCAAGTCAGTCTGTTGTATGACACCCCCACCCCCTCCAATATCGCTTCTCTCCCACCTTTACCTCAGCATCAGGTCTGAGGGAGCGAAGGTAACTTTTCAGATCTCCATGTGCCATCAGTTCCATGACAACCAGTGTGGGTTGTCCTTTTGAGACCACCCCTAGGAGGCGAACCTGAAAAACAGAAATGGGGATTCTCCCTTAGCGTTGTGTCTGGGCATGGCACATTTGTGAAAATGGAGTTTACAATGAAACCAACTGTGACGCATGGCTGGAAAGGGTTAAACAGCTCGCAGGCTGAATGACCCAAAGCCCACCTTTAAAGTCATGTTAGAAAGGTACGGGAATGATAAATTAGGGCCATTCATGCTAAATAGGCTAGAACTTTGAAATGCAAACCTATATTGTTAGAAGTAATACTAATTGTGTGTATCTTAGATGCTCCCTGTAAACAGACGAGATCAAAAGGGAATATTAACATTTAGATGAATCTTGGGTAAAATAATGTCATTGTCTATATGTCTCTTTGAAGTCTGTAATAGACTGCCTAATGGATAAATTGCCCTATGTTAATTTGTGTAACTAATTACTGGTGTTTAGAAAGCAAAAGGTTACATCAAAAGCCTATTGTTTAACAAGGACTGTGTGGTCAAGTGGATGCTAGAACACTGTATAAAAAGACCCTTGGATCCTGATTCTGTCATCTCAGATCTGCTTAGGCTTCGTCAGGGGAAGTTTGAGTCGTAAGACTGAGGTCCCAGTTATGCTGGTATGCCCTGAATATGAGATTTGGACATTGGACTATGACCTATGAACTGAATTCTAAAGGAACTCTTTGCAACTACAAAGCTCACCATCTCTGCTATGAATCTGAACCTCAATGGATTGAACTCATGTCTGTATGTATATTGATCTTTTAACCATACTCTCTCTCGTTTTTTAATAAATTTTAGTTTAGTTAATAAGAATTAGCTGTAGCGTGTATTTGGCTAAGATCTGAAACATTCATTAACCTGGGAGGTAATGTATCCGATCCTTTGGGATTGGTAGAACCTTTTCTTTTATATGATGAAATAAGATTTTCAGAAATCATCATATTTGACTTAGGTACCTGGTTGGAGCCCTGAGGCTGGATCACTTTTAAGGGACCTGTGTTGTTTGGACTTCTGAGTAACTAGTAAGATAATAAAGAAGCTGTTTTATGCTGGCTTGGTAAATCTAAGTATTGGAATATCCACCAGTTTTGTGTCTTCCCCATTCTTTCAGTTCACCCTAATTGAGTGACCATAGCTGGCCCCATTCTGGTCACACCAACACTTCTGTAGCAGGTTTCAGAGTAGCAGCGGTGTTAGTCTGTATCCGCAAAAAGAACAGGAGTACATGTGGCACCTTAGAGACTAATAAATTTATTAGAGCATAAGCTTTCGTGGGCTACAGCCCACTTCTTCGGATCCACTTCTGTAGCAAGATCCCAGAGTGCTGTCATGGGACACAGGGCCCTATCATGAAGGGGGGGGAGGGGGGGAGTTTGAAAGAGCACAAGGGAAATGATACAGGAAGACGAATTTTCCAGACTCTGCCAATCTCTCTCACTGATGGATTTTGCTTCCCTTTTAACCATTTTTTCAGCCTGATTCTCTAGCATTATAAAGCACTAAAGGGACATTAGTTCAAAGGTGGGATTTTCACCAGCAAGTCATTTAATGTAGAGAAACTTCACTTACCACGTGATGGCAGCTGAACCCTTTCATTACAGAAGCTTCATTCAGAAACTCAATGCGCTCCCGGAGGCTGGCAGATTCGTTAACGGTTTTCACAGCTACCCGAGTCTCTGGCTCCCCTTTCACTATGTCTTTGGCTATCCCTTCATACACCATCCCAAAGGAGCCTTGGCCGAGCTCTCGGAGAAGGTTAATCTTGTCTCGTGGGACTTCCCATTCATCGGGCACATAAACTGTCACATGGAGAAAGACATTTCTGAATGAGCAGAGTGGTTACTGGAGAGAGGTTTCTGCAATCAGGCACAGGAGACAGGAACACCCAGGCCTTGACACTATTCCCATCTCAGCAAGACAGGGGCTAGACTAGAGACTGGGGGCCAAAGTCACCCCCGCCTTGTGCAGCCATTTACACGTGGGTGTGAAACACTGCCTAATCAGACAGCAGTATTTCATTCCCACTTTATCCTGGTGCAAATGTCTGCACAAGGGGTGAGGCGAGGAGCGTCTGTCCCACAGACAGTAGGACTGAGTCTTGCAAAGCGTGTGCCAGGGAGAATCTGCAGGAGGAGTGACAGAACGCAGCAGCAAGTGCACAATGCAGGTAAAAAGGGGATTATGATCCACAAGCAGACATCCAGCATTTGCATTCACTAGTTCGAACGCCCATGTCTCGCTCCTGTACTGGATGTAATATTCCGCACCGAGCTCACTTTCCACGAAGATATAACAAATCTAAACAAATAACGGATACAAAGACACTGTTCTAAAACTCAACATCTTAAAATAATCTTGCTTTGTTCAGACTGTCAGCCTTGTACTGCAGAAGTCTGGGCGAGAAGACAAACATGACTGCTTCAGTAAAGAAATAAGCTAAAGCTAGATTCCAGTAAACAGCCCCCTTCTTACTCCTCTTAACACAATGAAATTAGATGCACAGTACTTTGCTTAAACACAGTGTATTTGTCCAAGCGGACAGGCATTCCTACAGCAGGAAAAGGAGGAAACGCCTTTCCAAACCCTTTTCGGTGGATTACACAGAGCAGCCCTGAGAAATGCAGGGCATGCGAAAGATGCAGGTGTTGACTGTGATCCCATTAGATATTCTTTGCAAAGCATCAATGTACCAGAGACTCTTGAGCAAAAAAACCTGGAGATATACAACAGCCAAGAGTGGCAGTAAAATATGTTCCTATGCTGTAGCACACAGCTCGAAGTAGTGAGCATGTTAATAGCACACCACTTCCCAATAGTTATCGCCAACCCAAAAGTGGGCTTATTTTTTTTAAACTAACTGAGCTCCTCTTCTCTACCCTAGAATTGCTCTAGTAGCAGCATTTGCCCACCCAGGAATGGACAAGAACATCCTTTAAGCTTTTATACGTTGATCCATGTTTCCTAAGTCATAATTCAAAACCAAGTGAAGCACTGGAATGGTCAGAACTGCAGCATGCTCTCACCATCACTGGCACTCAGGTACTCCGGGTTAGAGGATGCATAGAGCGGCCCAGTTGGTCCTTCAGTTTGTCTGGAAGCAAGACAGATACATACAAAGTTTCAGTATTTCTACAGTTTTATGCTTTGTGTTTTTGTCACCTTAGGGCTCGCGGGGCTGATTGCCTGACCAACCTGATTGCCTTCTATGATGAGATGACTGGCTCTATGGATATGGGGAAAGCGGTGGATGTGAGATATCTTGACTTTAGCAAAGCTTTTGATATTGTTTCCCATAGTATTCTTGCCAGCAAGTTAAAGAAGTATGGATTGGATCAATGGACTATAAGGTGGATAGAAAGCTGGCTAGATTGTCGGGCTCAACGGGTAGTGATCTACGGCTCAATGTCTAGTTGGCAGCCGGTTTCAAGTGGAGTGCCCCAGGGGTCAGTTTCGTTCAACATCTTTATTAATGATCTGGATGATGGGATGAACTGCACCCTCAGCAAGTTCGCAGATGACACTAAGCTGGGGGGAGAGGTAGATAAGCTGGAGGGTAGGGATAGGGTCCAGAGTGACCTAGACAAATTGGAGGATTGGACCAAAAGAAATCTGATGAGGTTCAACAAGTGCAGAGTCCTGCTCTTAGGAAGGAAGAATCCCACGCACAGCTACAGGCTGGGGACCGTCTGGCTAAGCAGCTGTTCTGCAGAAAAGGACCTGGGGATTACAGCGGATGAGAAGTTGGATATGAGTCAGCAGTGTGCCCTTGTTACCAAGAAGGCTAACGGCATATTGGGCTGTATTAGTAGGAGCACTGCCAGCAGATCGACAGAAGTGATTATTCCCCTCTATTTGGCACTGGTGAGGCCACACCGGGAGTACTGCGTCCAGTTTTGGGCCCCCCACTACAAGAAGGATGAGGACAAACTGGAGAGAGTCCAGCGGAAGGCAAACAAAAATGATTAGGAGGCTGGGGCACATGACTTATGAGGCGAGGCTAAGGGAACTGGGGTTATTTAGTCTGCAGAAGAGAAGAGTGAGGGGGAATTTGATAGCAGCCTTCAGCTACCTGAAGGGGGGTTCCAAAGAGGATGGAGCTCGGCTGTTCTCAGTAGTGGCAGATGACAGAACAAGAAGAAATGGTCTCAAGTTGCAGTGGGAGGGGTCTAGGGCAGTGGTTCTCAAACTTTTGTCCTGGTGACCCCTTTCACATAGCAAGCCTCTGAGTGCGACCCCCCTTATAAATTAAAAACACTTTTTTATATATTTAAGACTATTATAAATGCTGGAGGCAAAGCGGGGTTTGGGGTGGAGGCTGACAGCTCACGACCCCCCATGTAATAACCTCATGACCCCCTGAGGGGTCCCGACCCCCAGTTTGAGAACCCCTGGTCTAGGGGAACCCTGACATGGTGGCAGCGCGGTGGGATCATTTTGAACCAGAAGCACAGACTTCAGGATTTTAAAAGAACAAGTGGCCTTTTTCCTGAATTTCTGGCTAAATCACTTGGTGGTGGCAGCAATACCGTCCAAGGACAAGGAAAGGATTTGTGCCTTGGGGAAGTTTTTAGCCTAAGCTGGTAGAAATAAGCTTGGGGGTCTTTCATGTGGACAGGTTGGATATTAGGAAACACTATTTCACTAGGAGGGTGGTGAAGCACTGGAATGGGTTACCTAGGGAGGAGGTGGAATCTCCATCCTTATTGGTTTTTAAGGCCCAGCTTGACAAAGCCCTGGCTGGGATGATTTAGTTGGTGTTGGTCCTGCTTTGAGCAGGGGGTTGGACTAGATGACTTCCTGAGGTCCCTTCCAACCCTGATATTCTGTGATTCTATGACTTGGGCTCATGGGGTTGTTTCATTGTTGTGTAGACTTCTGGGCTCAGACTGGAGCCTGAGCTCTGGGACCCTCCCACCTCGTGGGGTCCTAGAGTCCGGGCTCCACCAGTCCTGTGGCCTCAGTCCCACAAATCAGAGTCGGCTGGCATGGGCCAGCCGCAGCTGTCTAGTTGCCATGTAGACATACCCTTAGAGTCTACATACAGCCATGCAATTAAAACAACTCCCAAAGCACAGGACAGATAACAGCTCCTGAACTTTAGATCTCCAAATGCAAGATGTTTCCTAGACAAGTCATTTAGCTGTTCTGCTAAAATCTGTTACCTCTTTTATAAAGCCACAGAAAACTACTAGCATATCTCTTTGGTAAAACATTTTGTTGTTCTGCTGAGAGCGATATACGTCACCCACCTCTTTTTCACAAATACGTAGGCAGCTCCAACAATTCCAATAATTATTATGGAAAAAATGATTGGGACAACAACAACAGCAATATTAGACTGAGGGTTCACTGAGAGAAAGAGAGAGAGAGAGAGAGAGAGAAAGAGAGAGAGAGAGAAAAAAGTGTTACGTGGGCTTCCAAGCAGTTTAGTCTTTTCTTGACTGAAATCCCCCCAGGAACACCTGCACACCCATGAGTGCAGGGTAAGATTCTGCCAAAGTGACAGGAGTCAGAGGTGCTCCATGCCACTACAGAGTTGGCCCAACAGTGCACAAAGCAGGCATCTCTTCCTATCCAAACCTGCTGTGCTCCACCCAGAACAAGATTGGCAAGCACCTCAGCACTTTGACGGCTGCAGACGATCCAGCTAGCTGGCTAATTCATGTCAAATGTGGGCAAATCAAAGTGCTTAGGAACATCCCTGATGATGGGAACTTTGAACAGAACCAGAGGCGGCTCCCAAATGATCTCCCATCTCCACTGCCTTCTTGCGCTCCCAAACTCAAGTGCAGAGCAAAGCCATTTCCGACACAAAGTGGATGGGAGTGCTTTTCTCGCTATTCAACTCAATGCAGAAGGCAGCTCTTCAGTTTCAAAGAGCCCACTTCCAGAGGTTTCTAAGCTCACACACAGGAAGACAGTTTGCTTTGCCCTGAAGCCATTGGCAAGCAATGCACGGCCACCCAGGACTGTGACCTCAGCGTTAACAAATAAGTGAGGGAAATAGATCAGCTTTTAAGAGACTGATTTTCAAGTTTCTCTAACGCGCTTGCCACTTGTAATCCCCATATCACCGTACTTTTCCCCATGCACTTCTATTCCAGTGCACCTGCTCTGTGCTGTGCTTCCCTCTCCAGAAAATAGCCCGGATTTCTATTAAAACATTAAACTTTGAATAAGCAAACTCACAATAATCAGCCACATAGAAATACGTGGGCTCTGTCCACGACCCATTTCCTGCCAGCGAGGTGGCTCGGATTCGGACGCTGTAGTTTCCAGGCTGTAGTCCACGTAACTTAAAGCCCTGTTCATTAGCAAACTGCTTACGAGAAACGCAGCGGTGTGCCTCCTGCAGGAGGATGGAAAACGACAGCTTTACTTCACTGCCTCTTGAAGAATGCAGCACAGTCAGGAGGCCTGTAACAATCAACCTCCCTTCCACAAATTAATCTGCAAATCTTCCCCGCCCAGCCCCTGCTGAACCCCAATAGACAGAGGGCACAGCACAACAGCCCCGTGTCTAGGGAGACTGAGATGATGCTGGAAATAGCAACTTGTGACCAAGAATTATGAGCTCTCAGATCTGGCCTGCCCTAAGGCTGTTACTCAAGAGCACTGCTCTCCACCTGTGCCCAATGAAACAAGCACGTGCACTTCTTTGACATGCAGCCCCTGTTGCAGTCATCCGGGCCCTTTGCACCTCGAGACATGGCTGTTCCTCAGAACTCCCCCAGACACCAGCGCTGGGGAAGATGAACTGCAGCACCATAATCAGTGCTAGCTCCCTGCACGTTTCCAAGTGCGATTCCAGGTGGTGGGTTTAGACTATAAATTCTAAAGCACTAAGTCACTCAGGACCTGATTTCATGGGGGCTGGCTCTGCCAATGGGATGTAAATAGGTGGATGCTGCTAGCAAGGGTTATCCCCACATTCTGGAGTCTCCCCTCACCCCCAGCTCACTGCCAGAGCCCAGATTAGTTAAGCTTTCCAGCACCTGTACTTGGGTGGAGAGTCTGGGCCATGTAACAACAGAGCAATTCTGGCATTTGGGGTGGATTTCAGAGTCTGCTAGAGCAGACATTCCTATGTATCTGAACACGCTAGTGGGCAGGCAGCCAGAGCACAGCATGGCAGCTTATCACCTGCATTGTTTATACACAATCAAATACAGTTACTGCAAGTCAGAACAGGAGAGCGCCATGAGTCCCCAGGGTCCTTTTGCCTTTGTCCAGGAGGATGTCTAGGAAGGGCTTTTATTTATATCACTAACATCTGGGTGCTTTTAAATGTATTTCAGCTAACGCCATAATGATTTATTGCAGCCAGTGGGCAGTTTCCTATGAAAGCCGCTGAGAATTCTAATACCCTGGTTAATGGTGATTTTCATTTGGCATCAAATCAACATTCAAAACACCAAAAGAAGAGTTCTTAAACAAACAAAAGGGTGGGAGAGCTAGAAAGGCCAAGACTTCAGCCTTCCTACCAACTCATAACTTAGGCACATATTTAACACCCAAAGAAGTTCAGTGACTAGCAGTAGTTTATTCCTAACACTATTTATTCATGAAATCATTCACTGATCTCAGCACATACCCAGCCCACTGCAGGGAGGGAAGGGCTGCATATCACCCTGAGAGTTGGATTTGAAAGGCAAAGAAAGAAAAGCCATAAAAACATGTTGCCCAAAGATCAAGAAAACAAACGAGAACAACAGCTATGTTAGTCCAAAGGTTAACTCTGCAAGTGGAGTATTCTGCTGATCACCCAAGAAGGAAGCTCATACTAAGCACAGTGCTACAACAAGTAACCAAAGGAAGACGAGCTAAATCACAAGCTATTTCAAATGAAGTCCTCCCATGGATACCTTTTAAAGGTTATTAGCATGAGGACTTCCACCCCCATAGTTCTCCTGAACAGCAAAGAGACAAATAATTGTGTGTTGGAATGCTCCGATCTTCCCCATTATAACGGTATATCCTGGGTTTCCCTCTCATTGTTAAGTAGTATTAGATCATGTGGGACGCATGCCATTTGCTGTACTGGGCCTCAATTCTGCCGTTTGTACTGGGCAGGCAAACCCTTCCACCCATGCAGAGCCCCACTGGAACCCTGCCCAGGCATTGGGGTCTGCCCATGCAGTTCAGGTTGCAGGATCAGGGTTGCCATTTACTATATCCTTGAACTGTAACTTCAATTGTTTCGCAATAAGCAGCTGAGATTTACATCTATATTGTTTCCATAGCTTTCTGTGCACTAAAATCCCTACAGAAATCCCTGCACCAGGCTAACAAATTAGAGACTCATGCTGAGGACACCGATATGTAGTGCTGTCCATCACCATGGAACACACTCCCAGAGGGTAAGAGTGGGCACATTTCTGTGCCAGAGTAGCTGGTAAGTTCATGCAAAAAAGAAACCAGACAAACTAGAACAATAGGGCAGGGTGGGCTGCCTTGCATTTCTGGAGCAACATCATGCAAAACAGAACTTCCACAGCTGGGTTTCCATGAACTCCTGCAGCCAGTCCTCCCTTGCAGCTATAGAGATACACTCTACGGGCAGAGCTGTGCTCTGTGTTACTCCTGCAGGAGGGGAGTGCATAGCTGCAGCCAGTCATTACCAAGACAGACATTCCAGGGCACTTTCATCATCATGGCAAATTCCAAAGGGATGTGGTCTCCTTGAAGATTGAGCACCATCCACATCGCACTCTGACTAGCTCTTTAAAGGGGGTGCTGCTATATTCAGTTTACATCCATCACTGGCAATTTGATTGTGCCACCAAAGTTTCTGGCGCCCACACGATTGCCGGCTGTGTCACAGCATTCCTTGGTACACACACTTTGGAATTCATTGGTCTTCCGTTCTAATATGTCCATACCAAGAAAGCTACCGAACCAGTGGTGATGGAGGCAGTTGGTGGGCTCTGCTTCAAACAGCCTCAATTCTGATCTTGTCCTGACACTTGATAAGGAGGAGATGAGTCCAGAGAATGTAGGAATATGCAAATTCAACTTCCCAGCTGCCACTACCAGCTATCACCCCATGTTAGAGCAAGGGTGTAGAGTGCACACCTACTCACATACCATCTATGGACAGGCTGAATGAAAGAAGCTCTCACCTCTGGCTCCCCAAGACGCCCATAATTCACTTCATATAGCACAATTAGCCCATTCGGCTCCTTTGGCTCCTGCCACTTCAAATGAACAGCATTTTTTTCGACCAGCTCATGGGTAACTGGACCAACAATGTCATCAGCCTTTGCTAAAACCAACAGATTTTTTACAAAGTTATGTTTAGAAAAACTTTAAGTTCTAAAATATTTTACAAAATGCAAACCTGGACCAGCCCAATATGTCAGCCTTTCCCACCTAACCAATGAACAGGGATATTTATTAGCAATAGGTACAGCCTAGTTCATCAGCATGAGCTTCCCAAGGCATTTTCTGAAATGCAGCTAACACATCGAGAAAACGGCCATTTAAAAATATTAGATTCCCCTGAAGCAAAGCTGAGTAAAGGCAACTTACCTTCTGGCATGGTTCTGGCACTAACATATGCTGCGACACTGCACCGGAATTCTTGGGCATCATGATTACAAGCATGGAGCTCAATGCGATACCCTGTAAAATGCTGCAGACCTGAGATAACCAAGGACTCCTTAGACTTAACTCTCTCAAAAGGTTTCTGTTCCTCTACAGTTTCAGGTGCTATTGCAGAGGAGGTATTCAACGAAGATGGGATGGTGGGTACCACCACAGTGGCATTAGCCACACTGCCAAGATCTCTTCGTTTTCGTGATGGCCTGCAGAACAATACATTTAAGAAATTATTCACCATATTTAGCTCAAACATATTTATCTGGGAGTTCAGAGTTCATCTGAAAACTCAAATGCAAGTAGAGTGCACTTGCAATGCAGCACAATCTAAAGAATTCAGAACTTTTTGTTCTAACAACCCTGTCTCAATGTCTTTGCAGAAACGTTACCTTTTAGTGGTGCCTGATCTTGATCTACCTTTGTTTCATAACTGTACATAGAAATAATAAAAGCTAAGGCCAAAGTATGCAATGACTCAAGTTCTCCCAGTTCAGCACAGCTGAACATTGCAAAGATGTTACTAATCTCTGGGTTCTACAGAGGTAGGATGCTGCCTTAACAAGACTGCAATACTCAAGACTTCGCCCCCATTTACTGTAGCTTTGACCATATGGGATCATGTCCTAAGCCCTGAGTTTGAGCATATTGGGTGCTGCACATATTCCAGGCATCCTAAACCTGCATTTAAAACTCATAAGACTGGTTTCATGGCTCACTGGAGTGTGTCCACTACTCTGAGCCCTATAGTTTCTGTTTTGTACATGAAGAGAATTTTCACCCTTTCACACCAACCAGGTCTTGAATGTTCATTTCAACATTTTAAAGAATAAAGTTAAACAAAGATCCCAGTACTGCCAGACTCACATCGCACACATTAGTAACATTCAGTAGTGGTTAACTGAAGTTTTTCTTTCAAATTACTGTATATTAGTTAGCAGATTTACTTCAACTTCTTGCTGTTGTGATTATCAAGTTGTCAGACATGACTTTGGCAGTCCCCCATACTGTAAGACAGAGCTGCTAGTTAACTTCAAAACCAGAAAAGGGGACATTTTTGTTTCACTAGAATTCAGTACCAAGCACCAGCCTGATTCTCTCTCCCCACCCTTCCCCCCCCCCAAATTATGTTAAATCAAGATAGTTACAATCAGCGTTTGAATCCTGTGATCACATTTGCAACTAGGAATTTCAGGCTGGGAACTCTGAGCGAATTGGGGGATCCAAGTTATGCCAGGAACAATCAATATTAGTTGCATGAGGGGAATCCATGTTCCCTGTTTCCCTCAATGAGAATTTTCCATCACTCTCTTACCAGACACGTTAAAATCCAAATCACATGTTAATGGGAACAATTGTGATCTTTGCTATTAAAGCGAGTCATCTGAAAGGAACCAGCACTATGAACATCTCCAGAGTTTACAAATGCAACAAGCTGTTGAAGCAAATCTTTGCTGCTGAATTGAACTTTCCACTGCCACCCTCAGACTATCAAGCACATGATTGGCTAACTAAAATTGCAGCAGGTGATTGCATGGGTCAGGTCTTTACCTAGAGTCCTCAGTTCCATTCCCTGATGTTATTTTTCTGAAAAAACAAATGCAACCACTTTGAAAGCAGATCTAAAATGTGGTAGATTTAAACATTATGTTTCGCACAGTAATACAGACCAATTCACTGGCAAGAGGGAACGTGACACCGAATGGCAGGCTCAGCACAGCACATTCTTGGCTTTAGATTTCTATTCCTGTAATTACTAATTAACTCCAGACAAACCATTTTTAAGTTGTTGTTCTCCTAACTTGCGCATTGCTCTGAACTGTGCCCTCTAATAATGAGGCAGAGTTCAAAGATGCAATACTAGGTCACAATTAAAAACAGATCACCTCCCACCCACCCCAAGGAATCTTTATGGTTAACTAGAATCTTGTTTACACTTCACAATTTAGCTCTTCCCCACTGTTTACAAAGTGCTGACTCAGCAGTTTCCCCAAGTCCGAGATTATTTTTGTTTTTCACAAGTACAACAGTAATCTCCCTGATGAGAGCTGTGCTACTCGGCACTCTCCTCTAACCTAGAGCTGTGAATGGAAAAATACAGAAAGAACTCTTAAAATGCTAGAGAATAAGAAAAGCTTCTGAAGCTGCAAACTCAAGAACTCCAAGTCTTTTATTGTTCTAAATCGGACCATGGGCCAAATCGGACCGCAAGACGCTTTTGAACAGACCCCAAAGTCTTTTTATTTACTTATTATTGTTGTTGTTGTTTTTTAAATTTTCTCTGGAGTCTGGACCTTGACTATACCTTGACCAATAAATTTGGATCTTGACAAAAAATAATTAACTAACCCTTCCTAGATTTAAAGCAACTCCCTTGCTAAATCCTCTCTGCTCTCCTCGCTGTCATTCCAGCCTCTCTTTTCAATACAACCCAAGGCTATTCAGGTGGCTTCAGTGGTTAGCTATGTGAAATACCCAGGTCTGGTCTCCATTCCCAGATTTCCCTGTCCCCCAGAGAGGCTGGGTCTAGCAGCGCTGTGAGAGAGTGCTCAGTCCCAGAGGAGGGGAAACACCTGGGAACACCCACCAGGGATGACCCTGGCTGAATCAGAAGCATTTATTGGCTCAGTAGCAGCCATATAGTCCTTTCTCAGGGGTGAGCCTTCAGGAGGAGGGGGCATTTGAGCCTCGCTCTGTTTTTTTCCGATGTAATACTCCTCACCCCCATTCGAGCTCTCACGTTCCAATTGCTTTGGAAGCTTCTTCCTTACTGTTGCTCATCCCTGTGTGAAACTCTTTCCAGTACAAGAGCAAACCATGTGATAAAGAAGAAACAAAACATCAGCTTGTGACCACCACTGTGTTCAGCTGCAAGAGGAAGTCACGAATCTCACAGCTGGGGTGAAAAGTTCCCTACCGATGGCTAGGAAGGGGGCTATGGGAAGGCAGTGCCTTAAGAAATCCATAGCCTATTCTATCAATGCAAAAGGAAGTTAGCCTACAAGTTCTATGCAAGTCCCACCCCACCCGCACTCAGTCCGCCTTGCACTTGGCCAGGGAGCAGTCCTTGTGACACTCCTTCCCAGACCGAGTTCTGAGAGTGGGTCAGACCAAAAAAAAAAAAAAAAAAGAGAAGCAGTGGGATTCAGGCTGGCTGGGTGTGTCTGTGGCAGGGCACGGCTTCGGGCACAGACATTGCCTGGGGAACAGGTTTCCTGAAACAAACAGGGAAGGGGGAAGGAGGAAGAAAAAAGCCGAAAGGAAGCAAGGAGAGCCAACAGGGAGGCAATCAGGGGGGAGATGGGCCCCCTCTTTACTACCCCTACCACCTTCTGCTTACAACCCCGCACAATTTCACAAGCCTCCTGCTGGTCTCCTACAAGGGCCTGGTCTTCCTTTTCATGACGAAGCAGGCTCTGCTTTCAAGTAGGGGTCTCTACAATGCTGTTAGGGAGGAGGCCATTGGCAGTTAGCGGCAGCAGAAATGAGATATGGAATTAAATACATATCCTATTCTGCTGCCAGACCCTGGATAAGTTGCCCTGGAGCAGACTAGCAGGCAAGAAACAGCAGCAAAACAACCTCTAATTCACTTTGCCACTCATCACAAAAGTCAACCTAGCAGGCAGACTAGATGTCAGGAGAACTGTGTCTCTGCTGCTGGCTTATGACAGTGAAGGGGCCCTGTATTAGTAAATTAATTAATGTAACAGGGCTGGAGGTTTCTTCCTTAGCAGGCTGACAAGGTGGTGTCTTGGTTATTTGTTTCTTCTTAGAATACATACCCCAGAAACTGGCCTGAGAAGCATCCTGGGCTGGCTGCACAATAAAATTAAAAATCACATTATAAGAACCGTTTGCCTAGATCAAGAGGATATTGCCTATGTGATAATGGCTTGTATCCTCTCTGCCTGCTGAGTACACAGAGTCCTGGGCAATCCCACTGTAGCTCTACATTTCACACTGAAACCTGCTCATCGCCACAGCACAAGCAGTAAGAAAATAGAGAAGTAAGGGACTTTGCAGATGCTTCCATGTGCCAATGGCAGGCATCACTCACTCAGGCTCAGAGAGAGGAATGCTGTTTAGTACTGCACTTTAAATAAAAGCATTCATTGTCATAGCTAGGCCTTTGTCAGGCAGCTGCAAATAAATATTTTCTGGTTAAGTGCAACCAGCAGAGAACAGATTTGATGCCTGAAACTCATTATGATAGTTTAGAGAGAAAATTACTACCAACCCCAACTTGATTCCCATAGTGCATTCTCTGTAACTCATATGAAGTGCGAACACATTCAACGTCACTTAATGTGACACAGTGTGTGCCATTCAAAACAGGCCTTTTACCACCCACAGCAGTTACATTCCTCATGGTATTGGAGGTATTTCCCATGCTAAGTACAGGGAAGACCGCAAATACCGCAGTAAAAGACAAGGCTGTGGCATGGTAAACTTCCCTTTTTCTTCTTTTATTTTTAAGTGGCTATTGCGCAAAAGCTGCAAAAAAGTTTCAGGCAGAAGAAACGGTCATTTCTGGCATCACACAAGTTTAAATAAGCTTCCAGGTTTTTAATAATTCGCTGAGATTTCTCAGTTTATGAGGTCAGGCTGAGGAGAATGCCGAGATCATGCAGCAAACTGGGGTTTCCCAAAACTGAGGTAACATCAGTTGTTCGAGTTCTAGTTTCACCAGTCTCAGCCACATATCCATCCAGATTTTGCTCTAGACAGCCCTGTAGATATCTTTGTCTGACATAGTGCCCTGGAGAGACTGGCAACATGACCAAACCCTGCCTTCAGTCTTCGGTTTCACTTTGTCAATTTACATTTCCCCACCCCAAGCCAACTAAACATAGCAGCAGTGGCAGAGTTTGTTACCTGGGGACAAACACCTCATTGTGGAGATAGTTCTCAAACATTTTGCGGAAGGCAGACTCTTCCTGCTCCTTCTGTATTTGAGAGTCAGTTTTTGGACAGGAACAACATTCTCCACTGATGTCCTCGTTTTCACTTTGATTATATTTATGAGGGTCTTCAGATTCAAAAGGGGGAGACCAAGTCCTCGACGGCAATTTTAGTCCTATGGAGAAAAGAATTCTTAGATCACACACACCGCCTTGCAAAAGTCATTAGCTGATTGGCACAGCAGTTTAAGTCACATAGATTAAAAAAGTCAGAACTATTTCCAGATTATTCCTTGAAGGTCACTGAGCTGACATTCCTTTTGGCACGTCTCTTCCCCACATGGAGCCTTGAAATCCAGACGCAGCATCCTGGCTGGCAGCTTGTCACATATATACCAGCAGCAGTGAACCATCCTGCCATGGATGCTCCAGTCTAATGAATTTCCAAACACTAAATCAGCTCCGCTTAGCCACGTTGGGCCAGCATACAACATAGCTGATGCCCTCCTCAGCCCTGAAAGGGGTGTACGTATTGGCAGATCAGAGGTTACAAGTAGGATCCTAGGTGAGGTAGAGTTCACCACTTCAATGGATGTTTATGACACACGCAGCAAGACAGCAGGGCATTGTTCACTGGTGACATGTTTAAGGGCTTGTCTACACTGGCTTTCAAACCAGGATTAAGCACAGCATACTGTTGGCTGTAGCCAAAAGGGTCTTCTAACATGACTCTGCCAGCTGGGGTGGGTGAAGCCTATAACCTGTAACTAGGGGCTGCTGGATTCATGAAACATTCAGACACCAGTCCTCTCACACCTTGGGTCTAGAAGTCTCTAGTCTGCAGATGTGAAACAGCCTTTGGCTCTAATCTGTGCTTGAAGTGTCATGACACTTGGAAAGACACCCGTAAATCTCTTTAGCCCCAAAACAGATCTAGAAGCCACAGAGGGGGTTACATTTCAGATTAATCTGACCCCAGGTCTCCAGAAGCCCAACAATATTTTCATCTCACTCTTATTAGCTTTGATAAAACTGGTTACCCAGATTAAGAGAAGCAAGAGCAGAAGGCAGATCCCAGAAGGCTTAAGACATCTGATTTTACTGTGTTCAAACCAACCAACCAACCAGCCATTCCTCACGATCTCTGATGGCGGGCCTGGCAATAGTGACCAGGGCAATGCAAAAGACAGTGGGAGAACACAGCCTTAACAGCTTTGGCTACATCACTGTGTGCTCCAAGAGCATCATCCATTAACACGCCACGATCCTGTGTCCCACCCACCTCCCACATGACAGAGAAAGAAACCCCACAGCTAGTATGAGACTAGCAGAGCCCGGAAGCTTGAATGTTAAACCCGGGATGGGAAAAAAGGGCACCTACCCTTCAGGCAGTAGTCGAGTTCGAAAAGCTCGCTGTCCTCCAGCTGCTTCTGCCAAAACACAAGGTAGTGTGTGATGTTCCCGTTCGGCTCAGAGGGCGGCTTCCACTTCAGAATGATCTGGGACGAAGAGTTGGAAACCGATATTGGATCTAATGGGACTGAGGGAACTGAAGGGAGAAAGACACAGAGGTCACTCAGATCACTGTACCAAAAGAGACCGAGGATACGAGGCAAGAATTATTGTGACGCTTTGGGATTCAACCCAGACCAGGGAGGGATTGTGTCACTGCCTGCCCTGCAACTCTGGGTGCCTTCTGTGCTATGGCTCACAGCCCTGACACCAACAGCCAGCCTACAACCAAGCAGGTCACACCCTGGCTTCCACCACCCAGTTACTTTTTGCAGAATGATCCCAACACCCTCCCAGCCCTGAATTTCCCCCAAACCGTCTGCAGGGGTCCCAGAATTGAGAGTTACTGTGTTACCCCTCTCAGTCAGCCCCACCTTAGAGACAGGAGGATCAGAGCCACCCTGCCCTCCCCACAGGACTCCCGGCAGTGCTAGTACCAGTCTCACCTATTGTCTGGTACAGTCTATCGACTTTTTTCACTAAACTGGAGCCCTCTCACTGCCCCCTGAATGAAACCTACACAAACTGACCCTGGTCCTGATCTCATTGCTGATAATCATCATCACAATAAGGGAAGGGAAAAAAAGTAAGCTTACTCTGGGTCTTCCAATGCACCTGATTTCACCTGTCTCTTCTCTGGACAGGGACTATCTTTATATTTTGTGTGTTTTGCACAGTGAAAACACACATTGCCAGTACTGAAGTAAGTAATTATGGGGATTCAATTCAGTTCTCTCCCCAGTGAATGGTCAATTCCCTCGTATATTATTTCCTTATAGTCTTCCAACCAGGCCTCAGAACATTAAGACTCACCTTTTTCCAACATTACTTGGTTTGTCCTGATTCAACAGTTTGCTTTACCAGGCAAATAAACAGAAATGAAGGGAGAAATGTCCTGCACAGAAAAAAATTCAGACCTCCCCCATCCCAGATTCAATGGCACTTGATGACACTGCAGCAGGGTTACACCAGCGTGTGAACACGATCATGCACAAGAATGAACAAGGAGCCTGCGTGCATTATATTCAGGCACACAGCGCCAGTGGAGAGACCAAGAACCATTCAGGCAAGGAGTTTGGTGGGTATGTTTTTCCTTGCCATATGCAAGGGGACAGTACTCACCGGTAGCATTGGTCTGGACGTAGATAATTTCGCTCTTTGCACCGTATGTCCTTCGTTCGTCCGAGAAGGTGACCAGCGTCTTAACGAACACAGCGTACTGAGTCCACGGCTTCAACCCCCGCAGGAGCCACCCCGGCTGGGCCTGAGCTTTCGGCTCATTTGACCGTGGGGGAGGGTCAACATCAACCACTGTCCAACTATTTGATCCACAGGCGTCTTGTCCATCAAACTCGGTCACATTCTGGTATGGACTTTTTCCAAGGGAAAGAGAAGGACAAAGGCCTCACGTTAATAGAATCCAAACTGCAGGTTTTTAGGAAATAATCACAACAAATATGAAACACCAAAGACCATGATAATCCTTTATCCCAGGATTGCCAAGAGCTTTACAAACAGAGCATCACAACATCCGGGCAGGGTGAGGGTATTATCAGTTGGAGGAATTGAGGCACAGAGAGGTGAAGGGAGTCTGTCCATCCAGGAAGTCTGTCGGGAACCCTGTAATCTTGACATCCAACTGTCTAACGGTGCCACAAATCATCATCAGTCACTGCTCCACAGACACAGGATTTACCAAGCCAGAGCAAACCACTGGTCTGCAGAACACTATTCTCACTACAGTAGCCAGATAAAGGAAAATGCAACAACCTCAAACGAACCCACTGAGCCCGTGGTGCAATGGCCTAGCAGTGAGTGGGGTTGGATAGGGGGATGGGCATTATTTCTTCCAAACGGTCAGTTGACGCCTTGAAGCAGGAGGCAGCCAGAACCCAAAGCTTCTCCACAAACAAAAATGGAGGAATTCTACTCTTGCTTCAACATATGGAGACAGGTCTTTGCCCTTCTGTTCATATAGCCTGTCCCAAATGATGCTCTACTCAATCTGCCGCCCTGCTAAAGGAAAGCCAGCGATTTACAGCTGGTTTAGGAGAATGGAATGAAATGGCAATCAGACAAAGGTGGCTGTAACTTGATCTGTTATAAGGAAGCTCAGAACAGCTGCTTGAGTCACCCCATGGGGAAAGAACAGGTCTCTCCAGGATCCAAACTAGTTCTTGTCATTAGCTGCATTGCCCACCGCTGAGAAAACAACACAGCAGCACTCAAGGAGCTCAAAGATGCTCAGGAATCCCAGATCTTCTCACATCTGGGCTGGTTTGTTTTTTAAAAACTGAATTCAGGGGCATGGGCTCTACAACCATTCCAGACACGAAAGACCAATATTCCTCCAGCCACAGTAGAATCTAACCCCAAGGAGCGAGCAGGAGATGGGCCATGGCAGAGGTAGTCCCTACAGAACATCTGGCACATAGGGAAGGAAATATTCATCGTCTGGGACTTCAGCAGGAAGTCGCCCTCCTTGGGAAGCACAGAGTCATATTGGCCAGTTCTGCCTTCTTATCATCTAAACTGAAGCAGTCAAATTTTACTGTTTAAATAATTTTTTTTAAATTAAGTATTATAGAGCTCTCTCCTGCTCACCAGGAAACAGGGAAATAAATGCTCCTTTCCAGAAGTTCAGTAATCTCCAGTCAGAGGGTCCAGGAATACCATTCCTTACAATGCATTTTAGCTTCCCAAGCAAGCTACAGCTCATGAGCGGTGCAAGACCTCCCGGCCATGGGACAGCTCAGAGCTCTGAGTTCACGAAAGGGGGTGCAGTTGCCTGGGAAGGGATTTTGTGAAATCTTTATTTTACCGCTGGTGTCATCAATTCACTTAGCTTTCTGCCTGTTGACAAGGGCTTTGATTTGAGACCACGGACCAATGAATGCCTCCCACATCTCACAGAAATTCTGGATGTGTGGGGTGAGCTATAATTCAGGCCAATTGCGGCCGGCCGGCCTCAGCAGAGCCAGTTTGATATCCCTGATTTTTTAAAAATGGCTCTAGTCTGAAAGGGAACAGAAATGCCCCACTCCTCAGTGCAAATGGAGAGGTGACAAAATCTACGGCTTCTGTAATAAGTGCTGAATTGAATGAGCTTCAATTCTGATTTTTAAGTTATTCTTTAGAGTATTTTTGCTGTACCTGACACAGCTAACGCAGGGATCATAATTAGTACCTGTGCAGCAGAAAAGTGACATTGGAAATTTACATGAAATGGTCAGACATTTACAAGAATTAAACAGTGGTAACAGTGATTGGTCTGAAATCTGCTCTTTGAGGTCAGAAATAGTTTGTGGAAGTACTTTGAGCTACTAAGGGACTGCGTGGCTTGGGGTCATCTGAGTTGGCATCTCCCCAGAGTTATTGTACAGACTTCTATACTTACGCTTCCTTGTAAAAAAGCATAAATCCTAGGAGATCACGGAAGTCAGGTGGCCAGTACGGCTCCCACTTTAGTAGGATCTTATCATGAGATGTTCTGATAGACGAAAACTTCAGCAATTCATTTTCACCTAAAGCAAAAGACAAAGGATATTGCTTTTTACTTTATTTTAAAACTGAAGCGGTTTCTTTTAAGTTCCTGTTTTGCATAAACACATTTTAGAACCAAAGCTCTGGGAAATGCTTAGAGCTGGGAAGAACTGTATATTTTAGATTACAGTTGTAAAATGGTAGGATTGTGAACAATCCAATGGACTTATTGATTGGTTTGCTCAACATATCCAGTTTACAGGTTCTCTGTTCAGTGAGATGTCTGTTGTCAAATCTACCTACTAGTACTTGCTTAAACAGGGCAGATAACGTGGGTCAGAAACAACTGACACTCTTGTAAAAATTCTTATAAAAGAAACTGTACTTACATGAGCTGGTGTTGAGAATAAAAAGCATTAAAGCAAGAACCGGAGATAGGACTTTTTGCGTAACATTGCATCAGTGATACAGCACATGCTTGCTATGGTGACACACCTAGCTACTATTGTGGAGACAAAAATGAGCCAGGCTGAGCAGCAGAAAAATGGAGGAAAAAGCAAAGCTGAACTGATTTTAATAAGCCAAATCTAGTGAAGAATCCGATGTTTACAACTGGACTGTCTACAGAATGGAGACTCAGGAGAACCCGTAGTCAATTATTTAAAGCGATAAAGAAATAAAAGCTGCCTCAATCCTAGATAGACAGAAATCTAAAGCCTAAATGGGTTAAAATTCATGCTAGTCTGCAGAGACAAGACCAATGAAATGGTTTGTGAAGCTGCTCTAGCTTCTGCCTCCACTGTGATGAAATGCCCAGTCCTGCCAGGGAAGAGCAGGGTCCCATTGCAGAGAAGAACATGAACGACAGAAGCCATTGCAAGGCGAGAAGGCTTACAGTCTATTATTTCCAAGGGACCCAGGAAGGATAAACTGTGAAGCATTGATTGGATTTGCCATTCCCTGCAGTAGCTGCACGAGGGAGGAAGGCTGTTAAGTTTGCTGGTGCTTAGTCCAGAAAAAACAATGGATTTTTTTTTTATAAAGAGGATGCTGCCAATTTGAAAACTAGACTTGAATCAAACAAAAAGCCAAACACATCAGCAATGGGTAGTTTGGGGCAGACGTGAAGAGGAGCAAACCACAGCTGAGCCCACCAGAGGTAGCACTGGGAGGGAGGAGGGCTGCTTGAAAGACAAACTGGACAGCCTGCCTGGCAGCTTTGCACCAAGAGTCTCTCACAACCACACAAGAGCACAGTTTGGGCCCCAGATCCAGTCTCTCACTCCCTGGGCCAGCAGAGGCAGCGCCCTCTGGCTCTGGGAAAAGCCCACTGCTGCTCTTTGGCTGGAGAGGGGATAGGAATCCTGCAGAGGCAGCACCCTCAGATCCAGTTCACTCTGCCTCACCTAAGGCTGGGGTGGGTCTGAGAGGCTCGACTGGCACCCGTTGTGCCCTGCTCAACCATGGGAAAGCCTGTTTGAGTGGCATCTTTGGCTGGGAACAGGGTGAGATGCTGGCTCTGAGCACTCAGGCTAAGGCCTGGGAATGCTGCTGGAGGCAAAGCTGCCCCCTCTGTATTCCTTAGCTCTGTTGACATGGGACCTTCCTTATTATTACTTGAAAGGAAACTGCCAGCCTTTAAAAATAAGTCACATTTCTGCTTCAAAAGTTTCTCCGACTGTTGTCACAGCAACCGCTCCAAACGAACTGAGCAGAAATACTCTCTCCTTTTCAGTTTATTTTGCAGCATTTGTTCATTGTCACCACTTCCCATCGCACAGAGAAAGGAGACAATTAAACATGTGCACAGCAGCAGGGCCCAGATGCCCCACTCAGGATTGAGGCTGTGGCATGTGACGTGCTGCGCAAAGACACAAGGCTGACCAGACCCTGCCTGAAGAACTCCCAGTCAAAGAGTGGGAGGGGGAAGGGCACCACAAAATGTTGTGGGGAAAAACCGTATAACCACAAAAGCTGGCAGGGGGCCTCCAGGGCAGAGATCAGACCTGAAACTACTTTTAACTCGTGGCAAGTTGAGAGTGTCCCTTCAGCTAGCTTACAGAGTAACTGATGTGCCTGGGGCTTTACACAGAGAGCACCAGGGCAGTCCCTGCCCTGAGAACTTCACAAGACAGACAAGGAGGTTAGCAAGAGGGTGCATACGGCACAGATCTCTTCACATTATGAAGCTTCCTTACAAGAGGCTTGGTCGCCATTTGTCTTCTGGGCTATGTCATTCCTCTCCTGACGTCCCTTAGTCCCAGAGATCTCCTCCATCTTGTGGATTTCTGACAAGCAGAGTTTGGGGTTATAATGAAAGAAGAGCTTCCCCCTTGCTATGCTGAGGTTGTGTTTGCTCCAGTCCCAGAGCTGGCGCAGGTTCTGATTGTCGAGGGCATAGAAGGAGTAATTCCTGTGAGAAGAGACAGAATGGAAGAGGATGGGTTCATTATTAAACTGGCTTTTCTCATGCACTAATCCAGACATCACATGAAAGTTCCCCACACAGAGTATCATAAGGACAGGCTGCAACTATGGGCAGACAGCAGTTAAACACACGTTTAAAAATAATTTGCTAACATTTTCCTGATGACTTACATTGGCCCCCAATATGTAATAACAGACTGAAGCATCTTATATAAAAACTCACCCAGCTTCTAACGTCTCCCCTTTAATCAGATGTAGCTTACGAAAAAAAGAAAGAGAAACCAAGGCATAGGAGCGGCGAATTTTTAGGTAACCTGAGATTTCTTCAATCAAGCCAAGATTCGCTTCAAGCTCAGCTGCTATGTTATCTGGGGAGAGGGAAACAATAGGTTTAGGCTCTCTGATACCATGGTGATGAGCACTGTACCAGATCCCATTATTGTTCTAAAAGATCTGCTCTGGGAATTATTCTGGAACAGTTCTATGGCCTGTGTTATACAGGAGGGTCAGTGATCCCTTCTAGCCTTCAATCTATGAAACTTAATTTACGTTTCGATAACTAACTACATAGAGGGATTAATTCCTGAATCACTGTGGGGCTGAAGCACGCTTTCTGCAAACAAATTCTCCGCATTCAAAGCTTTAAAAGCCCTGCAGAGATCTCAGGCTCAATGGACACTGCCTCATTGTCCTTTTTGACATGCAGTTCTCTCTCCCTACTGTCATGCTTTTCCACATTCTGCAAGTTCTCCCTGATGCAGCTCATAAGATGCAGAGCTTACTTCCTCCACGGATGTTTATGACTAAACTTCCATTAATGATGGTGCAGCCACGAAGCTCCTGTGCAGATGTCACTGAATCAATTATCTTCTCTTTGCCGTAGTCACAAACCTTCGGACAGGGCCCTGCACATGGAGAACAGTGCAGGCTGAAAAACAAGAGAGTGCAGAAGATATATGACAGATGTTTTTACAGAGCATAAACTGGGGCTTCTCCATCAGAATTCATACATGCAGGGTAATCAATTGAAAACGCAACAGTATTTTGACAATATGCTGAGCGGCTTACTTGTATCACACATAATACCTGGCTCTAAACAGCCTCACATAACACTTGAATATTCCTAAAAATCACTTTTTTCTTCGTTGAAGTCCCAGCACTGGAATACAAGATATTGTGACAGAGGACAATTTCTCCTCACCAGTCTGAGGATCAAAACCAGAATGAGAGATCTGATAAAGAAAGAATCATCTAATGGTCTAAGCAGCTTTGATTTTAATTCAACAATGAATCATAGGACTGGAAGGGAACTTGAGAGGTCATCTAATCCAGTTCCCGGCACTCATCTCAGGATTAAGTATTATCTAGAGCAGTGGTTCTCAAAGCCGGTCTGCCACTTGTTCAGGGAAAGCCCCTGGCGGGCCGGGCCGGTTTGTTTACCAGCAGCGTCCGCAGGTTTGGCCGATCGCGGCTCCCACTGGCCACAGTTTGCCGCTCCAGGCCAATGGGGGCTGCGGGAAGGGCGGCCAGCACATCCCTCGGCCTGCGCCGCT